AGATTTAACCCCAATTTGCAATATGCATTTGACAACTTTCATTTATTCAGCTTTAATTTCTAACAAGTAAAAAATAAACTCTAACCAAATTCAGAATTGTCACTTCAGATTCAATGTTTTAACTTCAAAATTGACGTATGGCAAACAAAATCAAAAGATATGGGGTTGATGCTTGCAAAAGTCAATGCACCATGCCCATAACGAACTACCACCACCGTTAGTTTATATTTAGCATAACTTTAAGAAATCCATACAAGATTCATATTTCCAGCAAGCTTTTGCCAAGAAATCACAATTAAGAGCAGAGTTCCATTAAAGTACATGAAATCTAGAATTTAGTCAGGAAAATCAAACTCTCGAATTGATGCTCAAAATAGTAAATGTGAGTATTTGTATGAGGCGTTGTGTGCGATTGTTAACAAAGTATCAGAATGGGATCAAGAAGCAGAACAATAGGGAGGAAGAATGTCCCACCTAAGAAATCAAACAAGACGAATGAGAATAAGGGAGAAGGAACGAAGCATACCTGAGATGCTTCGAGAGTAGAAGTGGGGATCGTGGAATGAGGTGGAAATCACGATTGAAACCTGCATATTTTTTCCGGTTAGTGTTTTACACATGAGAAGATGATAAGATCCAAAATCGAAATCAAAGGTATGAATAGTGGAGAAATTAGGGAAATACAAGAACGAAAACATTAGGAAGAGAGTATAACCAAAGATTACCTTAGTCGGGTTAGGGTGTGAAAATTTGAGCAGTCTCTGACGAGGTCAGGTGAGCCCGAGGTCGCCGGAGGAGAAATATCCCTAAGGTCGTTGGAGGAGAAGTGAGCAAATATGTTGCCGGCGAGGTGAGGCAAGATCATCGATCGATTGTTGCAGAGGCCAGAGAGCACCAAGTGTTTTCATTCTTGAAAAAAGCCCTACTCCCTGCGATTTTGTGGAATTTAGTAGTACTGATACTTGGGTTGAGGCGCGTTTGAAATAATTATAAAGCGACATCTCTACACGACACTCGTTTAAGACAAGTGCCCTCAGTGTTTTTAGTTTTTTTTGTTGGACACTAATTTTAGGGCATGCATAAATTCGTGTCCTCTATCCTTTGAATTTTGGAAAACTGACATTACTCTTAGGACACACAATAAATGCGTATCGTAAATCAGTGCGTTGCATTTCTTGCATGTCATTACAGGGCTTTTTTCTTGTAGTGATTAAACCAAATCATTTGACAAATTATAATGTAGAGGGGGTACCTATTATGAGAAAGAAATATTTATTGTGGTTATATGTGACAAGCATCAACAATCTAGGGGAAAAACTTGAACTGTGGGTTTATAACACCCCCATGCAGTTGCAACCCTACGCAGCTACGAAACCTTCAAGCCCCTTGCATATTTCGCCCCAAAGGAGCTCCCACCCACCTACCTAGAGAGAGATAGATAGATAGATAGATAGAGAGAGAGAGAGAATGAAAACATGTTTTCTTCTATTTTTCTGTTATGCGGTCATACCATGTGAGTTTTTGTATTGGCTATTATTTCATATGAAGATTTTGATGATTTTGTTCTTGCTGAAATCGATGAGTTTTGTGAGTATGAGAAAAAGTCCAAGCTAGTAATTGAGGAGTCTAGCAATGTCATTAATTCAAGTGAAGAAATCACATGCTGAAAAGAACAACTGTTAACTTAATATTGATTTGACTCATGTTGGTTTAGAGAACATCCAAAGTGATAATATTTTGGATGAAAGTTCTAATACTTTAAAAATTGAAGGCATGCATACAAAGTATGAAAAGTATATGCAAACTTTAAATGATAGGAACATGAAGCAGTTTCCAGTGACAATATGGTACCTTTACTGCTTGTTGCGAGTCCCCGAAGTGGTTACATTGTAAGTCTGTTATTTCACTATTTACAACTGTCTTTTTTGGTTTAGACCTTTCTTATATATTATTGGATTGCTTTCTAATTTCAGATCCACGGTTGTGAGTATTTTAATTCTCCTTCATAAGGTACTGACTTTTCTTTGTCATTATGATTGAGAGCTAGGGAAAATGACACATACGCCCTATGAACTTTCTAGGGTTTACCCTTTTAGTCACTTAACTTTTTAAGTACCTTTATGTGAAAATGAAGTGTGTTGAAACCTGGCAATTTAGTCCCTATTACTTATTATATCGAGTAACCCTGCCACATCATCCCCATTTGATACATCATCGATGACATGGAAAAAATCGTAATTACGTCCAATGACCCAAACGATGTCGTTTTGGAATATTAAACGTAGAGGTCATGTTCGTACTATTCCCCCCGCCTCCGTATAAAAGTAGAAGATTGTGCCTTAAATTGGGACAATACAAAACCTGGTTACCCTAATTGCACCCTTGACTTCAATCGCAATCGCCAAAGCCATGCCTTCATGATGTTCTCCAAATCACAATTGGTCACCTAACTATATTCGGCACATGGCTGAGAATGTCTCCAACGGAGTCACCAATGAAGACATGGCGATCAATCTACTCCAGAAACAGTTGGAGGTGTCGCTTGTGAGGGAAGAGATCGCAAACGACCTTCGTGAACTATGACACAATTTCACTAGAGACTTGGACGCCCTAAACCATGAAGTCGATGATGTTAGTGTAAGTCAGCTCGATTTATCTAACACTGTTGCTGATTTGAAGAAGCATTTGTGTTCACTACAGGCATCATATGTGAAGATCGTCTTGGTTAAAAACAAGTTTAACAAATTCAAATGGGTTGTTGGAGTTTTTGGTGTCACTGTCGTGGGGGTGTTAGCCTACAAGTTCTTAAAATGACTGAAGAACTTTAGGTTACAACATTTATGTCGTGGGTTTGTATTTTATTATGATGTGCATCTGTTTTATTTTCCTTATTAGTAAGGCGTTTTGTTCCTTGTTTTTTTGTTTCTGGTGGTCGTGGTTGGCATTTTTGTGATCATGTTGTTGTGATGTTCATTTTTTTCATGGTAATCACAGGTGATGGTAGTCGTATGTGGTAAGATGCAGCTACAAATCCTATGTTAACTTGTGTAATAGATGTAAAGATGTAACACAACCCAATGAATGAAATGTTGATAAAGTTAAAATATTGTTGTTATTGCTCCGAATGTGCATGTGTGATTAAGTAATACCCAGATTTGTTGATGTTCTTCCTGGGACCAAATGAAAAAGTTAAACTTTTTAAATAAACAAAACATGAACTCCAATGTTTCTATTGGGTACATGGGACAAAATAGAAGAATCTAATAAATGAGGCATCTTCTTAGGACCACTGGATAGTCGTTGTCTATAACCCAGAAACGGAAAACAATGGAAATGTTCTTTTTTGTTGTTTTTGTGCTTGCCCAGTTGGATAATAGCCTGGAAAACCTGGAATACCCCTAATGGGTTAAGTCACATAAAAAATACTGACTAAAATGCCCACAACACCCTTTCAGGTATACCTGACACAAATAATTAAAATACCCCTAATGGATTACCTGCTTTAAAAGTCTAAAATACCCTATTTGTTTCAGTAAATTTAAATGAAAATAATACCCTAACGGTAACTTCTTTGAGTGACTAAAATACCCCTACTTTATTAATTACTTGAAATAACATAAACCTATTGGATTGACTGCTTCAAATGACTAAACTACCCCTAAACTAACATTATAGCCCTAAGTATTAGGGATGAAAGTGGGTCCAAACCCGGACCGGATGGACCCAGACCCGAAAAACCCGAAACCGGTTAACGGGATTTTGTAGAACCGGAAACCGGACCGGTATATAGGAACCGGTTCCGGTTCCGTTTTGAGTACATACCGGGTAAAATGGGTCTAGAACCGAAAAACCCGGAAACATCAAAGTGGGTAGGTTGGAACCGGATAAAGTGGGTTTAGAACCGGAAAACCTGGAAAAACCGGAATTTTTTGGTACTTACTTACTACTTAGTGGGTTGAACTTAGAAAATTTTCATATTGATATCCCAACTTTGGGGGACTGTAACTCATTAAATATGAAACCAAAATTAAAAAAATTATAGTCTAAAATCATGTACAAACTCTGAAATACACTCTGGAAAAAACCGCATGTCAATCCGACTTTAAACGAATGGGATATGCATGTGTTAACATTTTCACAGAATACAAAGTACACAAACAAATAGCTGAAAAGTTGAAAACTTTCAGTTTTAATATCCCGACTTCGGAGGACTGTAAATCATTGAATATTAAACCAAAAATGACAAAATTATAGTCTGAACTCATGTACAAACTGTAAACTACAAGTTAGAAAAAACCACATGTCAATCCGACTTCAAACGAATTAGATATGCATGTTTTAAAACATTCACCGAATACAAAAAAACTGAAAAACTAAAAACTTCCAGCTTTGATATCTCGATTTTGGGGAAGGTAAGTCAATGAATATAAAACTGAAAATGACAAATTTATAGTCTAAAATCATGTACAGACTCTAAACTACATGTTAGAAAAAACCGAATGTCAATCGAAATTGAAACGAATAAGATATGCATATTTTAAACGTTTCAAAAAAACTGGTTCCGACCCTAATAGTGGTTCAGGTTCCTAACATCGGTTCCGGTTTTAGACCCGGTTTACCCGGACCCGATGGACCCAAACCCGGATAAAGCCAATTTTTAAACCCGGAATCGGAACCGGTTCTATATATTTCGGTTCTAACGGTTCCTGTTCCGGTCCGATTCCGGTTCCTGTCCGGTTTTCCGGTTCTAAATCTCATCCCTACTAAGTATCTCAAATGACTAAACTACCCCTACATGTTTAAATATTTGTAATGACTAAAGTACCCTGTACACACTAATATAAATAAGATCATACATAATGTAATTACATACACGAATCAAAATATCAAATGTTAAGATTAGTATGACATACATCAACATAACAAACATAAATTCCCTTGTTCCCGACAACATTAATAACATTACTTAATCAAAATAACAAACACAATTAATACTGTAATTAATCCAACTCCATTAGCGATCGAACACTAATACCTTGACCTTCAACCCTTTTAGCAAGATTTAGTTTAAGAATTCTCTCAGACTTTTTCCACTTGTTTGATTGACCTATATCATATACATGCCCAATAACTTCATTAACCTTACCCAGTGCCTCAGCTTCATTAACCCTCACCGCTTCCTTAGATTCGTTTACCCTCACAACTTCCTCAACTTGTGGGTCAACTGCATCACCCATAACAACATCTTCCCCACCCCTTGCATATTCACCGTCTCTTGTGTTTTCATAATCTTTTGTTTCTTTATGACATTAGTTTTAGGATGCCTTGGCACTTGAGTGAAAGTGGTCTTGTTGTGTCCTTTCTGTTTGCATATGCCACAAGAAACTTTTTTCCCTGCCTTTGAAACCATGTTTTTTCCAGACCTATTAGATATATCCCTAATTCTTTTCATGGTTGGCATGCCTGGCATTTTATTTTCAACGGAGGCAATGGAGGTATATAGTCTGTAGAAGGCTACATGTTCATTGAATTCATGCCATTAATGGACTCTTTATAGGTATTATGGAATAAGGCTCCTAGGTGGAATGGGTCTACATATGTTCCATCAGGTGTGACGTTTAAATACGTTATTATAGCTACTAAATGAATGCAATCATAGCCATTTAGTTTCCATAACCTGATACTACATTCCATTTTTGTGACATCAACAATGTACGATTCATCCATTTTCCTTGTTTCAAACTTCATATCCCCACAAGACACAACTTGCCAATGCCTACATAGTGTAATTCAAATATTTAAAGTTGAGAGAGGTAAGGTAAGTATAAATAAATAAGTGTGCAAACATTTGGTCAGTTTGGAGAATATTCAAGCTTGTTCTGATATTTGGACAAACAGAGTAACAATTCCATCCTTGATCTGTTAGTTTCATAGTCACCATCCTTTGCATCATATATATACGAATGTCCTATAACATGATGATAATAGGTTTCTTCCTAGCATCCAAAAATGACACTATTAAAGCTCACTGACAATCCATTCTCCACAGACTCACAATATGAATTGTGAACTCTGAAAAAAGCTAGAGACCAAGTCTTTAGATCTCATTTCATAAGATGGATAACGGCTTCAAGATTCAACTTTTAAACTCTTTCATGACTATGTTATAATGTGCTTCAGCTGTTTCCTCTCTTGCTCTCCAAAACAATTTTTCAAACATGGACCACTAAACGTTCTTCTAAAATTGGCATCTATATGCCTAGGACACTGCCTATGTTCTTCTGCTGGGAGTACTTCTTTGACTGCCTCAACCAAACCCTTCATATGTTAGAGGAATGATTTAAGTTAGAAATGTAAATATTTATTATACTATGTTTAATATTTTTGAAACATACCTTGTGTTGATCAGAAATTAAAACCAAACCACTTCCTTCATTCCAACACTGCAAATCCTCTGAAAGATTTTCAATGAACCATTTCCAATTCTCCTCGTTTTCCACACATACAACAACCCAAGCAAATGGGAATATTCCATTGTTAGAATCCCTACCAACAGCACGAAGCAACTCACGTTGGCAAAAAAATTTCAGGATACAACCGTCTAAGTTAATGATCCTTGTACAGGGTCTCTTTGACTGAAGTAAAGCATATGTTAATCTTGCTGAAGTAATTCTTACCATCTAGCAATGCATAAACAATATTTTAACAGTGGATCCAGGATTTGATCTTTTAATCTCCTCACCGTATGACCATATTCTTGCATAATTTTCTGCAACTGTGCCTTCAGCTAGAGTCAATGGATACTTCTTGGCTCTCTTACACTGAATCACACTCACTACAATGCCAAAAGTGGTTTTCACCTCCACTCTAAGTAATTTGACACTCATCTTTTGATTGTTAAATAAGTGGGTACCTATCCATTTATAAGTAATAATTGATCCGAATTTTAAATTCTTTGCACAATTATAGCCACTAATAGGAGATTTGATTTGGAAAGATTTATCATCACTCATCCATGAACCCCAAACCGTAATTGTACATTTTCCATCACAACATTTGGCTAGCATCCGTCTTAATCATTTTTCACAAAACATAATTGATAACCATTTGCAACAGCATAGTTCAGAGCATGTGTTTCAATTGTTTAGGCCTCTCAAACCTCATACCTAACACAGTTTCCTGCTCCTTCCAGTGTAGCTTTTCATTGAAAATATTTGGCAACTCAGGATAAACATCTTCATTGTCATCCATGGCTTCTTCCAAGGCTCACCCAAACCTACATTCTCACCCATGTCGACCTCATGCCCATTATCATCTTCGAAAAAATAAGGGATGCTAAGGTCATCCTCATCATCATCAACATCCACATCCTCATCCCCATGGTCATCCTCAACGTCATCGTCATCTTCATCATCATCCTCTTCCAAATGCCCTGTCTCGAATTCCTTAATTAGTCCTGCACCATCAATCACTTTTTCCCTATGTTATCAACAACCTCTTCTTTGTGTTCATCTAACCATTCCTGCATGTTATTATTACCAAAATAGTCTACATACATAGGGAGTATAACACCACACTAATAAGCAATTGCTATCAAATCGATATAATCCATCACACTTTTCTCCAGTGAACCTTTCGCTAAACTCATAACACCAGTTCTTGTCCATGCCTGCGAAATCGATGTCCGACAACCTATGAGTAATCTCGTCGGTGTAGCGTATAGGGTGTTTGGCGAAGATTCCTTAGAAGTGAACATCGACTTGGATGAATACGAGATCCATGTTTGAGGTTTGAGGAGACGAAAGCAAATAAGGGTTTATCAAAAGAGATGGAAGTGGTGAACACTCGACGGGAAAAGGTCTCGTTTAAAATCAGTAAAGCTATGTAATGAACATTGAGTTAACAAATTAATATGTGGCATTATTTAATGACATGGAAATTGACAATATACACAATCGGCAGACTATATGGTTTAAGTAAAACAGGTGGCATAAATATGACCGGTTGACCCCTTCATAAATGAAATAATGATGTAATCGACCCAGCAAAATAAAGCTCGTTCCCTCATAAAGCCACTTAAAAAGTTAAGAGACTAAAAGGGTAAACCCTAGAAAGTTCATAGGGCGTATGTTACATTTTCCCTTGAGAACTACAAATTTTATGTGTGTTTGTTTTAACAAAAAAAAAAACAAATTAATTTAGGGAATTGAAACATCCAACATATTGGCTATATGACAGTCACCCCAACAACAAAGGAGTTGATGATCAGCACCTACCATTCATTCTCATTTCAACATTGTTACTTGCTGATAAGTATGTAAATCTATCTCATTTATAGGTTGATTCCTACACCAATGTTTTTGGTGTATGGTCGGGGACACCAAAGAGAGGTGGTCATTGAAGTTGTCCATCGATAATAGAGTGGAATGAACATATATATTTCATAGACTGATGAAAAATTTGTGAAGTAGTCCTAGTGACGTCCCGATGGCATACCACCAAGAAACTACACCATTAGCCGAGTTTTACTCTCGGAAGCCTCAAAACAGCCATGTGTTCCCTCAGGATGATGTCGAAAATGTGTAAGAGCTCATGGAAAATGTTCCTCACATTTTTCTTGTTATTTAGAACCATATTTTCCTCTGATTTTAAAACTATAGAGGAACAACCGATCAACTTGAACAATGACAAAAGCATGATCAATGATATACGAAGCATGATTAACAAGTGATATAATTTTTATTGATCGGTTGTAGCTAAATTTCACAATTCAATTAATTTGATATAACTAGGATAAAATTAGATGATACACTACCATTATTAAGAATTTATGTATTTTCATTTATTGTTTATTACGTTTTCATAATATTGATTGATTTTATTATAAATTTGATTTGGAAATTTTTTTGTCATTTTTATATGTATTTTGTTATAGAATTAATCTTGACACCATTTTTTGCTACTGAATTGGTCTCTTGGTCTCTGGCTAACTTGCTATGGATATTTTTATGTAGTTATTATTATAGTTAAATTGTTGTGGATTTTGCTTTGGAATCAATTTTGTCACATTTTTTTACAATGAAAATTGATCCTAGTTAATTTGCTACAAAAAAATTGTCACATTTTTTTACAATGAAAATTGATCCTAGTTAATTTGCTACAAAAATTTTGCAACATAAGTAGACTGTAGTTATTTTGCTACAAAATATCTTTTACGACATTACCGGTACTCTGGATTTGCAACAAAATATTTGCTACGACATTACTTGTAGCGAATTTGCTACGAAAATTAGCAACACAATTTGTTCATAGTCAATTTGCTATGGATTTTCTATGGATCAGGCCGTGGTGAAATTTTTATGGATTTGATACGACAAAATTTTGTAGTCAATTTGCTACGGCGTTGCTACAAATGTAGTCCATATTTATTTTACTACAAAATAAATATGCTGCAAATTCCGTTGCAAAAGGTGCTACGGATTCCCTAACGACCCTTTAATAACGAAGAATTTTGCAACATAATGGTTCATTAGGAAATTCCGTCTCTATTCATGTTTAGCTACGGAATATCATGTTTTAGCTATAGAATTATTTCGTACGTATTTCAACTCTTTCTTGTAGTGACGCCTAACCACAATCATCATATTTCTCTGTATCTCGTTCCTTGCTTGTAATAATATAAGACCCTAAATTTACAGAACACTGTTCCCACCGTTGCCTTCCCCAACATCATTTGCACCCACTTTCAAGCATCAGACGTCTCCTTCTATAAACCCTCTATAAAAGAAATTATGGATAGTATTTTGGCCATTGGGGTTTTTACTGTTTTATTGTCTTGGTTATATATTCTTTTATTTGTTATCAATTAATTATTGGGTTATTGTCTTAAATGCCCTTAATTTTACACAAAAAAATTGGTTATGCTCAAAGTTGATTTTTTTCCATAGGTGCCTCACAATTGGGTAGTTTTTTCACTTTGGGCTTTTTATCTATCATGTTAAGAGCAGGTAGCTGGTCACCTACTCATCTTAATCCTTCCTTCCTCGTCTCTTCTTTCTTCTCCCTTTTCAAGCAGCAACCTGTCGATCTCCTCCCATATCACTGTCGTCGGCAACCTTCCAACAATCACCATCCACCGCCGGCCGTCTTCCACCACCTCTCTTCTCCATCAAAACCTTTCTAAAGACTATGTCGCCTGCCTATTTACAATCAAACGCTACCATCAAACTATGAGCTTCTGCCACCACCTCTAAAACCCGCCGAAAACTCTCTAAAACCACCATTTGCTTTCGACCATCCGTCACCACTTCTCTAATCCTATAGAAACCTCTCAAAGTCACCATTGATGACCTTTCTACATACTAAATCCCTCGTCTTTGTGGGGGTTTACCTTGAATTAGATTAGGTTAAAAAAAACATTGGATTTGTTTTTCAGTGGGAATTTTGTTCGGGGCCTTGATTCCAATGAGGGCTTTTAGTGGGTGATTGATTTGTTACAATTATTGTGTGCGATTTTGATTCACAACAACCCTTCTTTCTGATGCAAATTCCATTTCTAAACTTCTGAATTTCTTTTGATTGATCTTGTTTGTTTCCAATTATGAGCATGGGCAAGCTGATCTGGGGCTGAATAAAGAACAGAGGGAGATGTTGCATATTATTGTGTTTAAGGAGAGGTTTTCTGTAACTGATACATGCAAGTCTTGTGCTTCATTATTTTCACGGTATAAATAGATATAGGTTAATGGTGGGGTTTTGGTGTGAAGAAAAAGATGGCTTCTGGTGGATTGTGTATGGTAAAGGTGGGTTAATGGTAGTGAAGGGTTGTTGTGATGGAGGGATAAGGGTGACGTTAGGTGGAAATGGATGATGAACAGTGGCTGTGGTAGTTTGTGTGTGGCAAATGGTGGTGGTGGTGTGTGGTAGATGGTGGTGGTGATGGCAGATTGTGGTGGTGGTGGTTATGTGCCGCTTTATGTTAAGGAGAAGATCACGTGGGCTACCGGCTATAGAAGTTAAAATAAAGGGAAAAGGCAAAATTGAACAAGTTCCGATTTTTGAGGCATGCCTTGCAATAAACTTAAAAAAAAAAAAAAATAAAAATAAAAAAGAAAAAGAAAAACCACTTTGTGCATAACCCTTTTTTTTTTTGTAAAAATGGGGGCTTTTATGTCAAAAACCTAAATTCTTAATCATTTGTTGTGGTATATACCGCCATAGACCCATTTTCTATGGAAAAGATTTCTATTAAAGCACCAACCGGACGGATGTGAATGATTATTAGTGATATGTCGTGATGAATTTTACATCTCTTTTGTATGATTATTAGTGATATGTCGTGATGAATTTTACATCTCTTTTGTATGTCCTTATTTCAAGCATCTCAAGTTTTATGCGTTTGAGCGTGCTGAGAGAAAGTAACTATTCTTCAAAATGGAAGTAAATAGTTATGTTTCACAACTACAAGGACACTCCTACAAAACTATAATCATCATTTCTTCTTATTGTATTTGGATTTTGCATCTTTATGATCTTTATGATTGATGAACCCCAAATGGGTTCATATTGACACAAAGGTCAACTCACTGACATTTTTATGTTTTTTTTTTCTAACATATAATCAAGTTTAGCCGATTATTTCACGATCTTGAAAATTAAAGCTCGGTTGAGCTTGAGTTAAATTTCAACGCTCGAGTTTTGTAGTTAAGTAGAGCACAAGTTTGTCATTGTATTGACTCAACTTGACTTGATAACACCTTTATTTGAATCGAGTCTAAATTTGACATAATAAATGGTTGCAATTCGAATCGAGTCCAAATTTGACATAATAAATGGTTGAAAATTTTCTTCAACCAATAAACAAAAGTATAATTTTATTTTTAGCCCACAACATCAATGTATTTTATTTATAAACTAATACAATGAAATATTAATTTTTACCCAACAAAACAACACACTTTATTTTTTAGCCATAACAAGCAACTTGCTTATATAGTTAAACCAAATCAGAAAGGTATTTTATTTTTAATCAAAAACAACAAAATACCTATATTTTTTACACAAAACTACAACTACTATTCTTTTAACAAAAAACAAAAACGTATATTATTTTCAACTCCAAATGACAACGTACATTTATTTTTATCCAGAATAACCCGTTGAAAAAAAATAATCGTCTTTAAAAACCATTCGTTGAAAATGAACTATCTGTCGTCGAAAATAACTACTCGGCGTCGCTGCATTGCGCCGGTACTCCACTATTATCGTGTCAAATTAAATAATCGGAATTTCTCTGTTAATTTTTTTTTTAATTTCATCAAAAATCTTCCGACAATAATGAGATTTTTGTATATAAAACCGTAATAATAATTATTTATGTTATTCCCATGGTGGATGATGACAAAAATATATCTTAATGAAGGTTATCATTTAATTGATCACAATACAAACATAACATAATGATTGAAACTAAGGTTTATTAGGGAGTACGTAAACAACTATTGAGATAATTGATCACACTCCCATATATGTAATATTTATTTTATCACCCAAGTTTATAACAGCTTCTTGTACTCTTGTTGGGTATAGTAATCAGTGTAATACCAAGGGTAATCAAACAACGAAAGTTACTTGTTGTCAAAGCTTTATTAATAAGCTAAACTAA